TTATTTTTGCTTTTACTTTCCATGCTTTTTTTTTTAATGTCTGTTTCCATCATCAAATTGGGGAAGTTTTCCATCATTATTCCTTCAAATAGATTTTCAATCTCTTTTTATTTTTTTTAAAGATTTTATTGGGGAATTGGGGAAGGGGAACAGCCAAGTTGTTGTCCTTCGATCTTAGTTGTAGAGGGCGCAGCTAGCTTAGCCCCAAGTCCAGTCGCCATCGGCCGCATATCGGCAGCTCGCAGCTGCTCAACTCAAGGTGCCATGTTCAATTTTAGTTGTGGGTGGGCGTAGCCCACCATCCTATGTGGGAGTCAACCCAGAAACCTTGTTGCTAAGAGCACAGGCTCTAACCACTGAGCCATCCGGCCGCCCGTCAGCAGATCAGGGCAGCTCAGCTCAAGGTGCCGCATTCAATCTTAGTTGAAGGTGGGCATAGCCCACCATCTCATGAGAGACTCAAACCAGCAACCTTGTTGTTAGGAGAACATACTCTCACCAGCTGAGCCATCCTGCAACCTGTTGGGAGCTCAGAGGCAGCTCAGCTCTGGTGTAACTCACTGGCCAATGTGGGAATCCAACTGGCAACCCTGTTGCTCAGAGCTTGCACTCTAAACCAACTGAGCTACTCGGCTGGCCCACTTCCCTTGGCTTTTGAGGTCAAATTCATAAAATCCTCTTTGAACACAAGGTCCATAGGTACCTCTCCTTTTTCTATGCAATTTATTGTTTCAGATCTTGTATTTAGGTCTTTTGAGTTAATTTTTGTATATGACAGTTAGCAGTCTAGTTTCATTCTTTTGCCTGTGGCTTTCCAATTTTCCCAGCACCATTTATTGAAGAACCTTTCTTTTCTCCATTGTATGTTCCTGACTCCTTTGTCAAAAATTATCTGACCATATATATGTGGGTTTATTTCTGGGTTCTCAGTTCTATTCCATTAGTCTGTGTGTCTGTTTTTCTGTTGATACCATGCTGTTTAATTATTGTTGCTTCATAGTATAAATTGAAATCAGGGAGTGTGATGCCTCCAGCCTTGTTGTCGTTTCTCAGGATTGCTTTGGATATTTGGGATCTTTTGTGATTGCATACAAATCTGATGTTGTTTTTTTTTATTTCTTTAAAAAAACCCATTGTGATTTTCATGGGGATTGCATTAAATCTGTATATTACTTTGGGTAATATAGCCTTTTTAACTATGTTGATTCTCCCAATCCATGAACACAGGATATCTTTTCATTTCTTTGTGTCTTCTTCAATTTCTTTTAATAATGTCTTATAGTTTTCAGTGTATAGGTCTTTCACATCCTATGTTAAGTTTATTTCTAGGTATTTTATTCTTTTTGTTGCCATTGCAAGAGGGATTGTTGGGGTTTTGTGGTTTTTTTTTTTCAATTCTTTTTCTGAAATTTCATTGTTAGTGTACAGGAATGCAATGGATTTTTGTTACATTTATTTTGAGTGTGCAACTTTACTGTATTTATTGTTTCTAATAGTTTTCTGGTGAATTCCTTAGGGTTTTCTAAATTTAAAAAATCATGTCATCTGCAAAAAGTAACAATTTGACTTCTTCATTCCCCTTTTGGATGCTTTTCATTTATTGTCTTGCCTGATTGCTTTGCCTAGGACATCCAATACTATGTTGAATAACAGTGGTGACAGGGGCATCCCTGACTTATTCCTGATTGTACAGGGAAAGCTTTCTGGTTTTCATCATTAAGTATGATATTAGCTGAAGGTTTGTCATATATGGCCTTTATTATGTGGAGGTAATTTTCTTCTGTACCCATTTGATTAAGTGTTTTAATCATCTATTTTTAAAAGAGAAATGAAGAAAAGAAATTTGGAATTTTGGGAAGTCATGAAGACCTTTCAAAATTATCATCACTTGATAAAAAACAGGTAAGATCATCTTTGAAAATATGAAGTAAAGCATATGATCAGGCTTATCTTTTCAGAGAAAAGAACACATGTTCAGAAGCAATTTCAAGAAATAGAGAGTATACACATTAAAGAATTTAACTATTTTAACAGAGCTCATAGAATCTGTTATTAAGAGATGGAAATATGCTTATGTTCAATTAATCAGCTAAAAGAATTACATGTTTAATATATTTAAGACATATTAAACATATTTTTGGAAACTTATGGGTGATAGAATATAGGAATAGTGATGTAAAGAAGGAAAAGTTAAAATAATAGAAGAATTTGCCAGGGACCTGATGGAGATATGAATAACTAAACTATTGGCAGTTCTAGTGGAGATTATACACATCTAACAGAACCTTATTTATCAGTAATCAAGAAGCTGTCAAAAGGAGCACCATGAGAATTCAATGGCTATTGTAGTTGGCACAGTTCACAATGAACAGTGTGCTCTGGAAATGCATCAGTTCCTTGATTTGGAGTGGAAATGCATCAGTTCCTTGATTTGGAATCAAATGAGGACATTTGATTCCTTCTTGTAGCATGTGTATAGTAGGGGCATAATAAATGGTTATTGCTAAGGAAAATTATAAATAAATTAATGAGGAGAATGGCAATGTATCAGGTAGGACTTATGTGCAGTTGCACATAATAAAAAAAAACGCATATCACTGTGTTTTACAGGACAGTTGTTCCCCGCCTTTGCCCCCCATTTAAATCTCCAGAGTTAGGCACTACAGGACTGTTGCTGGGGTGGGCCTGTGTGATTCTTTTGAATTTTTGTGATAGTCAGATACAAGATGACAGCTTCATCTCTAGCCATCACACCCACTTTTTAGACATAAAGAAGGAATAAGGGCAAAGGAAATGTGGGACAGGCCAGCTGAATCTGCTACCACTCTCAGAATGGCCTTCTGACAGTTTCTGTTGTTATATCACATTAGCCAGAACTATGCTAAGGAACCATCTCATGGGACACAAATGCCAAGGAGGGAGGATATTTTGTTTTGTTTTTAAGCTAAGTATGTTACCTCTCTCAACAAAATAGGAATACTGTTAAGTATTGATATAGTAAGAGCATTGAACTAAGCACTCAAATAGTCGGGATCTCATCTCATCTCTGCCTTTTTAGCAACTCATTTAATTTCTCTGAACCTCAATTTCCTCTTCTATAAAAAAGGAATGATCAAGTTGTACAACCCATCACACAGGATTATTGGGAGAATTAAACTGGAGCATTGTAAATTACAAACATCATACAAATAAATGTGAAGTACTTGTCATAGAGAAGTGGCTCTTTTACCATTTGGGTATAAACAACCCAATAAAACTTTAGCCAAAATAGATCAGTATAAGTTGTATTATATAGTTTTTCGGTAAGAAACTACTTGTGCTGAAATTATGATGAATGCATGACACCAAAAATCATTGCACAAATATGAGAAAAATTCAAGGGGAGTCAAATGCCTTTTTTTTCTTTATGATAGAAACTATACTGTTTCTCAAATCAAATAATTTTATTTTCTTTATAGTTTCTCCAAAAATGTATAAAATTAAAGTTTGCTTTAATCATCTGGAAAAAACATTTTATGTCTTTTAAACAAGGCTAGGATTCTCTTACACTTTTCAATAGCACATATTTTGATCTTAGATGAAAACAAACTCTTTAAGAGCAATACAAAGCCTCTAGTATCTGACCCTAGTTGTGGATCAACAAAATATTGATTCCAATATCAGTTTAACCATCTAGAGACCCTTTTGTGTAATCGTTCATTGTGGCAGCCATGGAGACGTGCCACTCATATGTTCTTTCAGGAGACAGCCTGCTTCAAGGAGTGCGGTCAGCAACATCATCCAACTGCAGCACCTTTGGGATTCCACTAATCTCTCCCACCATGGACATGCTCTTTAGATCCTGGGCATTTCTTGCCAGCACAGGACGGCTCTTGGGGCAATCTTTGCACTGGAGCTTCCTGTTGGGCTGGCTGATGTTCTCAGACAATCTTTTTACCCTTTTTCACAGGGAAGATGAGCCTCACAGCCTGGAAGCTTTTTCTGCCTTCTCCTGTTCCCACTCCCCATTATCTCTCATAGGCATAATTCTAAATGCATCTCGTACTTGCAACTTTGTCTTGGAATTTGATTCCTGGAGAACCAAATCAACACAAGTGTCTACTTTATTTTCCCTTGCCTTGTAAGCTTCTGATGAACAAAAGTTGAGATGAATTTCACATAGCTTACTTTTTCATGATGCATTATCTCAGGACCCACATTCCTGAGAAAATGTTTTTTAAAGCAATCATTTACATTTCCAATCATTTTTGCCTATTGTTACTGGGATGGGGCTCCTAATGGAACCTATTTAGCCTTGATATGTGCTAAGAAAACCTCTTCATTATTCATTCTCCCTTACCCAACTCACGTGGCTTTTGCTCATTCCTTTTCATGAAGTCTATGTCTAAAATTACACAGCTGAGTGTCTGTTTCACTCAGGCTTTCTCTCTGACTCCTTGGAACTTAACGTGGTTGGCTTGTACAAACGCTTCCTTCACATCTGCTTCAGGTATACCCTAGAAATCAGTAGGATGAGCTGTATAAAAATACTATTTGAAACACAGTAAGCAAACCTATTTATTATTTTTTATCATATACTTTTGAAGTTCACGGACTTTGGTAGTTGATAGCAATAGCTTCTCAGATATGTAGACAGAAAGAGCATAAATTAAAAGTCAATCTCTGCCATACTGTATTACATGTGTAAACCTGAAAATGCCAAATAACTTCTTGAATAACAGCTATATCCCAACTCCAGAACAGATTGCTTTCAAGTTGTCAGTTTTAGAGCAGATTTTTACACTGTATACAGTAAGCCAATATGGAACATAGACATGTTATTTTAGCAATTTTGGTCTGTTCTGCACTGGATTGAGATGTAGCAATTTTAAAAAATCATTTACATATCCAAAACTATATCCTTTAAATTTTAATTAAACCAGAAGCTATCTTTTTAATCATCTTATGAAACAATCATATAAAGTAGTGATTCCAATTCGTCACTATCACCAGGACCACTTCCCTGGGTGTTTTTGTACAAATTCCCAGTCCTCTTCTCTAGGTCTATTGAGTTATAGTCTCTGGCAATGAGGCCTGAAAATGTGTATTTTAGTAAAACCTTAGGAGATTCCAGTGATCATCTGGGTATGGGAATCACTGAATATTTCAGTCCCTGAATAACTTGGACATGAGGTTAGACATGTCAGTAAAAAGCAATATTTGGCAAAGTATCTCCAGAATAAATAAACTAGATTAAAACTAACCATGAAATAGGCCTAAGGCCACATGGTAGATATTTATAATCTCTGTACAATAATAACAGCTACTGACACTGGTAGAACACCTACTGTATGTCAAGCTATGTATTCTACATACCTTATCTCTTTAATCCTCACAGTATCTCTAGAAGGTTGGAATATATTATTTTCCCTATTTTATACATGAGGAGCCTGTGGATAATAGAGGTAAAATGTCTTGCCCAAAGTCCCATTTCAGACAAGTGACAGAGCCAGAATTCAAATTCACATCTACTTGATTTCAAAACAAGAGGTTTACAAGCACTGTACCACAAGGTTTCATTTCATGTCTGCATTTCCTGCTGACTCAGTATATGGCCTATACCTTTTTAGTCCGTGCTTTTGCCCCTGGCCTCTGGTTGTTCAATGTTTGTGGGAAATGGGAGACTCCCAGGACTGTTGCTACCTCCAACAACATAATACATTCCAAAAACTATAGTTTACTTCCTCCTCCTAATGAATAACACACAAGTTATCTAGTGTTTCTCACTCTAATTCTACAGTGAAGTTACCACGAGATGAGAAATGCTATCAAACTAATTATACTAGGAAATGAAAAATAGAAAAAGCATACAGAATGCAGGAAATGTGGTAGAAAGTATTTTTAAAAAGGATATAGATCATTCAGAATTGGAGTGTGTATTTGTGTGTTCGTCAGGAACAAAGCTTATACCCAATTCTTCCTGCTCCCATCCAACCAGCTCACCCTGCCCACTCCCATCATGTTATACATGTGAGTACAATCTATAAATACCCAAATCCCTAAGGTTTAAATGTCATTGATAGTGCAAATTGAATTTCCAGTGTATTTTAGTAGCTGTACACTGAAAACAATTATATATTAGAATTTTCTGCCACCAAGTGGTAATAATGCTTCTTTGCACCATTGAGCAAGTTTTTCCTTACATCCTATTTCTTGTATTATTCAACTTGAACATGTGTTTATTGAATACACACTATGTATTAGAAACTGATTAGAAATTTTTCTGAAAAAAAAGTTATATATCTGTATCCAAATTCATATTTTGGATGGAGAGCACATTTAGTCACATAAAAATGATCCAAATGAATTTATACCTATTTAGTCATCTACAGTAAGCCCCCGACTTATGAACATTGGTGTTGCGAACTTTCACAGATACAAACGGACCTCGCACTTCGAACATTCATAGATGTGAACAAATAGCGGAAGTAGCTCACATGTCTGACGGACATTGTCACAGCTGTGCTGCTGTGTGCTTACTGTACAGTGTGATAGTGTACAGCAGTACAGTGCTCAATCAGAGCCCAGGATGTCCGGAAGCAAGAGGAAAAGCAATGGTGATGTGGAGGGGACTGCTAGGAAGCACAAAGCAATAACCATGGAAACAAAAGTGAAAATAATTGAGAGATTGGACTGAGGCGAAAAGATGGTAGACGTCGCTCGTTCTTATAACATGAATCATTCAACCATTGGCTTTACATTGTGTATTTGTGTCAAAGGTGGATAAGACTCACTTTGTCGGACTTACGAACGAATCGGACTTACGAACGTTCTCCCGGAACGGAAATCATTCGTAAGTTGGGGACTTACTGTACCATTTAATTATACCAGTAGTTCCCAACAGGGGTGATTTTGCGCCCCTACCACCAGCATGCCCAGGGTGCATTTGTAATTTTTGGTTGTCACAACCAGAGAGGGGAGTTGTTATTGGCATCTAGTGGGTAGAGGCCATGGATGCTGCTAAAGAATTGTCTAGCTCCAAGTGTCAAAAATGTCTCAATTGAGAAACCCTAAATTCTATTCACTGAGTGCATGCAGGGGAGAGCTGCATGTTGATCAGAAACTGTATGGACACAATGTGGCTGTGGCCTCTACATCTATGCTCTGGAAAAGCCACAATCATACACATTCTCAAAGGAACAGAATATCATTTTCTGGTTTGGGAGGCACTATTATCTCTTCTCTGTTAATTTATAAGGCATCTGCCTGATGTTTCAATTAAAACCAATTCACCCTGTTTCCAGATCTATCTTTATTATGTAGTTGAGCTGCAACCAACTGATTCATAAACCTAGATTGTACATGTCTTATACAGCAAGATGTCCAGAAACCAAGTTAAGTCCATTAGTGACCCCAAAAGCACTTCTTTCACTGATTTTACTGACAATTTTGGAGCACTTGCCACATGCTGGGCAGTGCTGGCACAGGGATAGTGGGATGAACTAAACCAGGCTGTCCTTCCATAGAGCCCAGAGAATGTAGACAATAATCATGCAAATAAACCGGTGCATAAGATAATTATCAGTTGTTTAGCATATTATGAAAGAAACAAAAGGCCTAGCTTGCTTCTGACCTATTTTTCATGGGTTGGGCAGGGAAAGTTTCTCTGAGAAGCTTATGTTTTAAGCAAAAATCCAAAGGATGAGACAGCAATTTAGGCAGGCAAAAAGCCAGGAAAAGAGGGTTTCGGGAATTGGGAACAGCAAACTCAGAGGCCTTAAATTAGAAAAGAGTGAATGAAAGGAGGCATGTGTGACATTAATATAATATTAAGTTTCAAAAAAAAAAAAAAAAAGATTATCTCCATAGGCTTGGTGTGTCCTGGAGCTGCCTTAATCGAAGATGATTGGCATATAGAGTATTAAGGATCATACATTTGCCTTAAAAAAATCCCAAATCCCAGTGTAATATATATTTGATGTATTATAGAATTGAAACACTTGAAACCTATATAATTTTACTAACCAATGTCACCCCAATAAATTTAATAATAAAAAAAAACAAACCTCAAAGAAGCATACTTTTTCACTTTGCTGTTTCCACAAACACCTTTTGGATGTACAAATAGCCACTATTAAAAGAAGAAAATATCAAATTAATGATTTGCAACCATAGGTTGTGAGTTCATGAATGGATAGTAAATAACTGAAAGGCAGGACACACAGAGATTCCCTTTATCTGGATCCTTTCCTCCTGACTATGAACCTGTCCTCACCCTCCATGCTTTATCATAACAATTCGGGGGTGAAAGTGAGCTTAAACCTGGCCATCACATTTAATGATGTCCTTAAGGTATAAATCATAGTTTGAAAGCCAGGAATAATTATATCATTATAAAAATAAATGAATAATCATATTATTTGAAAATAAATTAAATATTATATTACTAAAATACATTGAAGTTTGCATTAATTTCAAAAATTCATAAATTAGCAGAACTTGAAGGACTATGAAAGGTCAACTAGATCACTCCCTTCATTGTCAGAAGAGATTATAGAAATTTTCAGAATCGTGCCTAGTGTTTCACAGCTAACTTGTGGCAGAGCCAGATTTTAGTCTTTAGGTGCTCTTCTTAAGAACCTAAGCTATCTCTCTTTGGTTAATTTGGGCAATTGTATAATTTTATCTTAATGTTTTTTTAAAGTAAATATCAAGTTAAAAAAATGGACATTTTGCTGATATTTTTAGAGAAGATGAAAGAAAAAAGAAAATAGCTGCATGAAAAAGGGTGCTATTTAAACAATATTATTAAAATTGTATATTTTTTATGGATTTTATTAGCCTTGCCTTATTTTCCTATTATTATAACTCAGCTAGACCATAATTGTTTACATTCTTCATTAGTACCCATAGCCTAGCATAGAACCTTACATGTAGAGTACATTTAATACATACTTGCTCAATAGATGAATGTGTACATAGCTGTTTTAATTCAGCCTGTGGGCACTTAAAGATCAAAACATTGACATCAAGGACTTTAATTGAATCTCATTGAGCTGTTTTTATAGTAACTTAGATGCCATTGGGAAATATGGATCATAGCTGTCTCTGAAGATGGTCCTGAAGCTTCTCATTCCCTGGAAACAGTTGCGTACCCAAAACATGCAAATTTAGAGCTGCGCTGTTTCCCTCACATTCTCTTTATTGTTTTTTGTGAAACCATTTTTTTTCCCTTTAGAAAATGCCCTTAAGAGTTTTTGTAATCACCCTCTTAGCACGTTCACCTGGTATGTTAAAACTTTTATTGCAGATTGCTTTAATTCCTTGTTATTTGCTTGTTCAAGCAAATACATTATTTGAAAAGTACTGCCCAAGTGGGATACTACACACATCCTAAAATCCAAATGGGTTAGTTGTGCTTTCTTAGCACCTGAATTCTGTCCCACAAGAGTCTTACCCTGATGTTTCTTCAGGATTCCACCACACCCTAGTGCATGCGTGGTGGTTGTAGTCAACCATGCTGGCCTGTTGGTCCATCATCAATGGACCTCTGAAGTCACCACCATTACTTCCCCAACTCATCTGCCTCTTCCTGTATCACAGATGTGTCTGTGAGAAGGCTAAAGCATGACTCTCATGATAACACAATTGAAAGCCATCAAGTCTAAAAGACCCCTCAGACAACCTCTAATAGCTATTGAGTGATGAAACACATCTGAAGTGCCCAAGATTTGTCTTGGAAGACAGAATATTAAGCGAGTTTAGTTAAAATGGCACTACATATATTGATAAGGTTACTTATTATCGTATATAATATTGAGACTATTTATTAGTTCATATATGTAATTCATAAATCTCATCACATTATTTAAAAGAAAAATTAGATAAGAACCTTTTTTTTTTTTCCAAATTACAGCTTGGGCATAGTAAACAATCAAGTTTAAGGAGCTCAGAAGATTTTCAATTAAATAATTTCACTAATCCTCCAAGACAGTATCAGGTAAGCATGGATTTTTAAAGAAATAAGGCTAGGGCCGGCCGAGTGGCTCAGCTGGTCAAGAGCTCGCTTGGGAGCACCAGCTCTGCGCAGCAGGGCTGCGGTTTGGATCCCACATTGAGGGCCAGTGAAGCTTGCCCTCTACAGCTAAGATGATGAAAAACAGCTCGACCTGGAGCTGGGCTGCTGTGAGTCATCGGTGACGGCGTAGGCTGCAGTGGGACTGCAGTGGGCTGCCGTGAGCTACGTGAGTAGCTGGCAGCCAGCGTGAGCGGCTGGTAACTGGTGTGAACTACCGGGAGCCGCTGTGAGCGGCCGACCAACAACCGGTGGCCGATTGCCTCACCCAGGAAGAGCACAACGATCATACCAACATGGGCCAGTGAAGCGACATCCACCACAACTAGACTGAAGAACAAAACAGCAATTTGTCTACTTGTCTGTTCCCCTTCCCCAATTGCCCAATGCTGTTACCTGCCCCCCAATTCTCCATTAAAATCTTTTTTTAAGAAAAAAAGAAATAAGGCTAGTTTTTGGTTAATATTTATTTATTTATTTATTTATTTATTTATTATTATTTTTTTTAGATTTTTTTATTGGGGAATTGCGGGGAGGGGAACAGACAAGTTGCTGTCGTTTTGTTCTTCAGTCTAGTTGTGGAGGTCGTTGCTTCACTGGCCCAAGTTGGCACCATCATTGCGCTCTTCCTGGGCGACGCAGATCAGTCGCCGGCTTCTGGACGGCCGCTCACAGTGGCTGCTGGCTACACACGGTAGCCCATGGCAACCCACTGCCACAGGGGCTGCAGCCTACGCCGTCGCCAGCGACTCACGGCAGCCCAGCTCCAGGTTGAGCTGTTGTTCAGCATCTTAGCTGTAGAGGGCAGTGTCACTGGCCCTCATATGTGGGATCCGAACCGGGGCCCTCTGGCATCCCAAGCCAGTTCTTAACCATCGCGCCACTCGGCCGGCCCCTTGGTTAATATTTAGAATCTCAAACTATGTGATTCTTTAAATGAAAATAAACCATTATGATTTTTTTTCTCAATATCAAAATAATGCACTAGTTCAACAAATATTTATTGAGTAACTACCATGTACCAGGCACTTTCTAAGTACTGGAGATACTTAAGTAAATAAAATAAATGAAGTCTTGGTTTCATGGAGTTTATCATCTCCATGTTTATTGTAAAAAGTCTATCCTTCCTAAAAACATAAAGAAAAGCATAAAATTCACCTCAAACCCCACCACTGAAAAATAAAAACTACTTACTTTTGGCGAATATTCTGCCAGATGGTTATATGTATGTGTATACTCATAATTTTACATGTATTTTAATTTTAATATTGTATAAATGAGTTAATAATGCTTATATAACAAGTAATATAACACTTAATATAACATTCATATTAATTTTAATGGATGCGTAATATTCCTTTGTACAAATATATGATTACTTATTAAAATAATCCCCTATTTAAGAGTTTATTTTTCTACTCTTATATGCAGTACTACTATGAATATATTTGTCTATGAACCCAATTACATCCTTAGAATAAGTTCTTGAAAGTGGAATTTTCCTGTCCGCTGTTTCGTTTTGGGCTTAGGTAGTAAGATTTGGTTTAGCTATATATCCACTCAGAACTTCCTGCTCACATGCTGAGCCTCTTGCTTTTCATAAAATGTATGTAGTAAAAGCAACATTCTCATGTAGAAGCCCAGGTACTGGAGACATTGCATTACATTGAAACTGGCCATTCATAAATTATTAGCAAGCATAAAATCAAAGCTGGTTACATTCCTTGTTAAGGTAGGGGTATAAACATAAATGAGTGCACATTTGCTTAATTTCCCATTTCCACATGTGGTACTGCACACTTTTAACCTGTCCAACTAAAAGGGTTTATCTTGCTCTAATGCTTTTCAAATAAAATATGAGCAATGAATCAAGGATTAGCTGTGTACTCTAAACTTGCTCTTTTCCTGAAGAATTAACTTTTGAGTCATTAGTCCAGGTGATGTGAAAATTGCTTTAAAAATCTGGAGATAGTATGCATTCCTTGGCAGGTAAATCATCTTAATCTTTGATAGCCATAGCTTCTAAAGGGCTCGCTACAGACAGAAAGAGTCAAACCTGTGCCAATGGAGAGATTGGTTATAGACATAAAACTGTAATGGATGTTTCTTTTCTCTCTCCAGAAAATAATGAAGAGGCTTATTAAAAGATATGTACTAAAAGCCCAGATCGATAAGGAGAGCGATGAAGTGAACGAAGGTGAGTGGAACGCAGGGACAAGTTGGTCCCTGAACACAAGCCAGGATGTGGGGCCTGGTGCAGAGCTGAGGGAGAGTGAGAAATGGGTGTGGCAAGGGTGAGCTTCAAGGGGAAGAGAAGACGGGACCTCGTCAATACTGTTACATTCTGGAGAAATAGGCTGTCTCTCCACAGTTGGGAAACAGATGCCACTTGCTAGAGAAGTATTATTTTTATGGGGTTCTGGAGGAAGGAAGAAGTGGCTGGGACGGTGAGGGGCTGTTCCTCTCAATCCCTGCAACATTTGCCACCAGCGTTTCCCTTTAATTTACTTTCAGAGGACTTCTGCTATAATTTTTCTTTATAATCTTTCCATTAACCAAAATACTTAGCTGAGAACATAGAAACCTGCCCCATTAGGAAGTTATTTCCTTTGAAAGGATTCAAAATACAGATGTGTGTGGTATTAGGGCTGATTTCACTCTGCCCTAAAATGGCTAGTTTTCTGCATTACGTATTTACAATTGACATCTTATCACTCTTGTTTTTTAAAGGGGAACTGAAGGAAATTAAACAGGACATCTCAAGTCTCCGCTATGAACTCCTAGAAGAAAAAACTCAGAACTCAGAAGATCTAGCAGAACTTATTAGAAAACTTGGGGAGAAATTATCAGTGGAAACAAATAAAGAGGAAAGCAATAGATAATGCAAAGACTACCCTAAAATCCATATTTATTTGTTCACTTGAAGCCATATTAGTTTCTGATTTATTTTTTTAAGTACCAGTGTGACCACTTTCTAAATAAGAAAATGTTCAAAGATAACTTGGGTCATCCTATCATCCAGAACCCTAATATTAAATATTTTTCATGGATAAATTTCACTGTTCAAGCTAAAGATTGAAGGTTATGATGCAAATTATGCCCAGTTTTTCGGTGCTTGTTTTATTAACTGCTTTCTTGGGTATAACTATTGTGATGATGTGGTTGCCATGTAGCATCTGCCTGGAAATCATTTCAGCTGGCAGGGGGCAGACATACCATTCTATGGTATTTTCCCTGATTGTGATTTCAGGCACTTTCCTGCCTGCTCTGTGGATCCCTTGATGGTGATTTCCAGACCTAAAATCTAGAGAAAAAAAAAATCTATGGCCATTTAGAGAATGTTGTAATCATCTACCCCACTTAGCCCTCACAGAATATGATTGATAATGTCTGTGCAAAATGGGTAAAATTTTTCCTAAATTTCCTGATTCATCTCTTTGAAAATGTTACATTTACCAGTGAAAAAGTGCTTCCTGCACACTGAATCCTGCAGACATGGTTCAATTGTGTGTGTTTTTGTGTGTGCACATGCGCGCACATGTGAAATTCTTGCCCTATTTTCTTTTGCAGCCAATATAGACTCTCAAAAGCTCTTTATGTTATAATTTTTATTGTAATTGAAAAATTATTGACCAAATAAAAACGCTTTATTGGAGAAATATCAAAGCCACAAATAGTTGTGGTCATTTGGCCCAATTAGAGCAGTTTTGTCCCATTTCTGAGGGCCTTTACAGGTGAATTCCCCCCACATTTGGCATTCATTGTAAAGAAAAAAATGTGTTGAAGGAACTTGCAAATACTTACCTATTATTATCAGTATGTTCTACCTTCCTCTCAAAATATACAAAACAGGAAATTGCGTTTGTGAGCATCCACTAAGAGGTTATTACTTACTGATGATGTGGAGCAACAGCTAAAACAACTGAGACAAATGAAGGTTTGAAGGTTCATGTGTTCAGCTACCCAAAGACTATCAATACTTAGATGATGCTGGCCATTAACTGAAAGTATAGCTTTAAATTCAATAAAGAGAAGCTTCAAATGCAAAATTTTAACTTCATTTTAAAGCTAAAATGGTCACAGAAAATCTGTTTAGCCCGAAATTTGACTGAATTTAAATCAAAGAACTTTGACACAACCAGTAGAATATATTGCTGAAATTTTATATTCTTTGATATTGTATTTGTGGGTATTATTTATTGAGAAGTTATTTAGTGATACAGAAAAGGTCTATTTTCAAATGTTTTGTGACAGTATTTGAATCAGAAGATGCAAAGATCAACCTCAACCAAATGCACCATTAGCAAATTAAAATAATCTAGTATCCACGAAGCTTGTGTATTGTGCCATGCAAGAGATTGGCCTACATGACAAGGAGCACTCTACGATAGAAAATGAGCTTGACTCTAGAAGAGTCTAGAAAAGATACTCTGAGTCCCCAGTGTCTTTTAAGTTGGGCAGACCTGACAAAAGTTTTGGGAAATGCACCAGTCATGACTGTGGGTTCCTCAGTAAAAGGCACTGCCATAAAGTGCCACCTGTTATTGTTCAAAAGTAATATGTCCTGAAGTCAATAGGTTTTCCTCAAAGGGCAACTGAGTTGGCACCTCTTCTAATTTCTTTTTGTTTTTTAAGATTTTTATTGGGGAATTGGGGAGATGGGAACAGCACTGGGGAATTGGGGGAAGGGGAACAGACAAGTTGCTGTCATTTTGTTCCTCAGTCTAGTTGTGGAGGACGTTGCTTTACTGGCCCAAGTTGGCACCATCATTGTGCTCTTCCCAGGCAAGGCAGATCAGTGGCCAGCTTCTGGACGGCCGCTCACGGAGGCTTGAGGGCTGGTCAGGCTGGCTGCTGGCTACACATGGTAGCCCATGGCAACCCACTGCCACAGGGGCTGCAGCCTACGCCGTCGCCAGCGACTCACGGCAGCCCAGCTCCAGGTTGAGCTGTTGTTCAGCAGCATCTTAGCTGTAGAGGGCAGTGTCACTGGCCCTCATATGTGGGATCCGACCGGGGCCCTCTGGCGTCCCAAGCCAGTTCTTAACCATCGCGCCACTCAGCTGGCCTTCTAATTTCTTTTTAATTGGAAGATGTAAAGAGAAACCAACCATATTTTAAGAAAGGTTTTTTTTAATTCCAACAAGAGCTTAATTAAAGGCATATTGTCAAAGGATGGTCATAGGCATGACCATCTTTCTTGAGTCTCAAGACCACTGGCTTTAAATCCTGTATTCGTGTTGTGGTCAGCTTAACCTTTTGAAATAAAGTGATTAACAAGTTGAAATTTATTTATCCAAACTGCTCTCTCTCTCTCTGTCACATTTCTCCTCTCAGATTTGGAGCTTTCTGGAGGTTTGGGTACAGTCAGGGGAACAGAACAGTAAGGTAAACCTTTTGACCACACAGCTCCTCCTTGAGGGCCAAGCCATTTTCACCCCTCATGTCAGAAGCACCAGCAACAAACAAAATGGCGTCCCTCTTTTTGTAATGCCTAGTTTTACTCTCTGCTTTTCTTATTACTCCGAAACTGAGAAATAACACAAATTCAATATGATTTTACTAAGCATATAAAATGAATTACCAGAATCTACTGTCTGCTTAAAACTTGCCAGAAATTGAAAGGAATAGAAAATTAGTGTCTAACCTCAAGGAGCTGGCAACCAAGTAAAGAAATGGGAGTTAATACAACTATAAAAAATGTTCACTGAGCATCTACCATGGTCCAGGCACTGATAAATGCTTGCCATGCATTATCTGATTTAATCTAACTCAGTGCTTATAACAACTATATGAGGTAAATACTATTCTCCTCATTTTAGAAATGAGAAAACGGAGGCTTTTAGAGGCTAAGCAACTTGCATCTAGAGTAAAGTGTCAGAGCTAGGAACAAAACCCAGGCCTGCGTCACTGCAGAGGCCTCACCCTTACCTGGGGTCTTGACCAACTATTTTGGAGTGTGGTTGTCTCATTGTGAAACTTATATTTCAATGTCTAAGTGAGGAAAATGGGCTGTACCTGGAAACCCTAAGTTCCAATACATACCTAGTCTAGAGACAGACAGTAGCGTTAATCAAGGAAGGCTACAGGTAAAAGAAGGTTTTGCTTCGAAAGAAAGGTAGACATAAAAAGAATAAAAGATGGAGATGTATATGAAGGGGTGGGAATAGCATGAGCAAGGCCAGGAGTTGGGCTTGAGCATGGAACATTAAGAAAGCTTTTCAGAATATATTCAATGACTGTGGCTCTGAGGAGAACAGATTGACCTTATTTGGGAAGCCTGTCCCACTAATCCAAGATCATTCCAGTATGAAAGAATTTTTAGACCATGTAGATAGTGAAAACAACCCAAACATTCCATAAAATTGAGACACTATATGGTAATATTTGCCAACCACATAGACTGCCAGAGGAGTCCCCGAGTAGCATCACTACATATCAGGACTGATTTCCAGCATCAGACCAAGGGAGAGATGCATCTCCATGCGCCACATTCTAAATATAGCCAGCATCTGTTCCGATTCTAACAAGCAGATACAGCCTCCTTCTTTACCCTGAAACCTCCTTTGTCATCATGTGCCAGGCAGATTAATGGGAGTCCCTGCAGCTCTGTTGATTGGTGCTGGATATGAGTGCCTATGTTATAGCTAAGAGTCTCTGTCCTTTGAGGTAGAATGTGCAGATTGAATCACTGGAGAAGGAGAAAAGGACATGAATTCCTGACCCGGACCTCTGTGTTGTACTCAGGAAACATCTAATTAGCTTTCCAAGTGAGCAAGTTAATCAAAGGTTGTATCAGAGTGCAGCCTTGCACCCTACCATGGATGGAAGCTAAATATCTGTCATCATACAAAACACTGACTCATAGTCAGAGTCCTTACTTTTACATGTGACCAGCTGAGGTGAGAAATACACCATGAACTCTCTGAAAGACTTGGATAATTAAGGCAAATGTTATTTTGTTGTTTCTTGAATCATTAGAATGATTGCTTGAGTTTTCTTCTTTACTCTGTATTTCCAGCTACAGCCATAAAAGTTTCCACAGACATTTTTTAAAAACATTTGCCCAGGATGAATTTGATGATAGCAACACCTATTAAAAAGTCACAAAAAGCCTTCATTTTGGAATCAATTTTTTTTGCAGAGATTTTTTTTTTTTTAGATTTTTATTGGGGAATTGAGGGGATGGGAACAGTGCTGGGGAATTGGGGGAAGGGGAACAGACAAGTTGCTGTCGTTTTTTGTTCTTCAGTGTAGTTGTGGAGGATGTTGCTTCACTGGCCCAAGCTGGCACCATCATTGCGCTCTTCCCGGGCGAGGCAGATCAGTCGCCGGCTTCTGGACGGCCGCTCACTGCGGCTGCTAGCTGCTCACGCTGGCTGCTGGCTACACACGGTAGCCCATGGCAACCCACTGCCACAGGGGCTGCAGCCTATGCCCTCGCCAGCGCCTCATGGCAGCCCAGCTCCAGGTTGAGCTGTTGTTCACCATCTTAGCTGTAGAGGGCAGTGTCACTGGCCCTCTATGTGGGATCCGAACTGGGGCCCTCTGGCGTCCCAAGCCAGCTCTTAACCATTGCACCACTCGGCCGGCCCACAGAGATTTTTGTACAATTGAATAAATAGCTGGAGACACTGACCAACTATATGATAGTTTTGTTTACATATTAGCACCATTTGATGGATAGTCAATTTATCCAGTGTAAGTGGATCATAGGGATATTGATTCACATTGTTCAAATTCATGAAAATATTATATTGAATAGCCATTTTATTCAATGGTAGGGGAATTATACCTGCTAAAATGATCCATATATTCATTATAGTCATAGTACTCCTTGAGTATAATGTCATCTAGGACATTGAAGTAAAAAACAGCAAAAAGTTGGTATGTATAGAATCCAAGCATTTCTCACCTTTCTTCTTTATCTAATGCCCATCCTGTAAGCCATAGGCTTTTTACATTGTCCACTGATAAACTGTAGGAACAGTGTAACAGGTAGATAAACAGGCATGACCTCTGGGAAATACACAGGACATTATGAATTTTTTCCCCCTAAATCTTTAGAGAAAACCTTGATGATGACATTTGAGAAGTAAGTCTTGAACTTCACTACCCTGCATTTTTGTCCTAATCATTACGCATGAAAATAGACTTTCATGTCACCATAGAACAACCTCAGAATAAGGTAAGTTTAGGTATTATCGTATCTCAGACTAAAAGAATGACAGTGCTCTGCGTTTGCCTTAACCTTTTCAGTATTCTGTGATTCAGCCATCTGACATTTACCCTTCCCTCTTCTTCAGATAATAGACTACCCCTCAGAAAAATTAGAAAAGGTCAAATTTTAGTGTTCCTATATTTCAAAAAATGTTAAACATCATATTGTTGCTACTATTGGTGATATGTAGAAGAATATATATCCACATATATACATATACAGTTTGTCATGGTCTACAATATATAACCATGTAATGCATATATAATATATGCATGTTATAAACATATATAATTAAAGACATTTTTCAAAGCATTGTTAAGCTCCTAGAAAAAAAATGCTACAAATACATTTTTTTTGGTTTCTTTTCTCACTTGTCCTTTTTTTTTTAATTTCAATGATTTTAACTTTTTTCTAGTCTCTATATGTTATCTATCTCTTCTGCTGAGCTTTTTTTCAGCCCAGTAGTATAAGTTCTGGAGCCACAACATATGGGCTTGAATCCCAGCTCTAACGATTAGCAGCTGTGCATTCTTCCCTAACTTTCTTAAACTTTCTGGGCCCCAGTATCCCACTTCTACAGATTAAAAACAAAGCAAAATAAAACAACTAACAGTATCTCCTGCATAGAGTTTTTATGAGGTTGAAATGAGTTAATACATCTTAGGCTCAAAAATAGTACTTGGCATATGTAAGCGTTCAGTTAATGCAGCAATTGTGCAGAAAGGATGTAGCTCTCAAATTCCCTTTGTACCCCATCTTAAACCACCCCCTCTCACAGATCATGAAATCTAATGAAATTTAGGTTTCAACTCATGCTTCTCTGATTAATTGGTACCTAGTATCTGGAGCACTGTGCTAAGAATCTGAGGCCCCCTTCAGGATCAGTAGGAAAGAATGACACAGAGACAATTAACAATGCTTACCATGAACATGGGAAGTTGGCCCTCAAGCCATATATTTGCCATGTTTTAGGATAATAAATCATATTTGAACAGTATTTGGGAAAATTTCAAGGCACATTTATTCCTTTTAATTATAATAATTTTGCATCATTTTATAATAGTATCATAAGATGGTTTAGGGCAAGCACCATATTAGATCTCACTCATAAAACTTTTACTTAAAACCTATTATAGTCATTGCAATGTGCTGGTGCTATTGCCAGTAGCAGTACTAAAAACAAAATACAAATAGTCAGTTTTTAAGCCACTGACCTAATTATCACAAGCTAGTTCCATAAGACCTTTTTAATTTATTCACCTCAGATAGCTATACCATGCTTGAGAAGAAATGTTTCAGCATCCACAAAGTAGAAAATGAAGCCTGGAAACTGCTGTGTTAGGTTTAGTTTATCTGTTATGGTTTGTCGTTTCATCTTAATTGTCAGAGGGTGTATCAAACCCAAGTAAGAAATTTGGGGC